GGGCAGGTAGGAACTTGGTTGGACAGCGCATTCGTGCACGACAGACAGACAAATAATCCCTGGTGGGCAGTGTGGAACCTGTTGTTCCTACCTGTATGTATAAAAGATAACTTGACTTTAGGTAGCCAGGCAGACAGCCCCCTTAACTATCGCCCCCCCCCCTCCCTTAGGCCCCTCCCCCCTTAGGCCCCTCCCCTGACCCCCTTTCCCTTAGGCCCCTCCCCTGACCACCCCCCCCCCATATCCTCAGGCCCCTCCCCTGACCCCCCTTCCCTTAGGCCCCTCCCCTGACCCCCCTTCTGTTAGGCCCCTCCACTGAGCACCCCCCCCCCATATCCTTAGGCCCCTTCCCTGACCCCCCCTCCCTCAGGCCCCTCCGCTGACCCCCCCCCCCCTCAGGCCCCTCCCCTGAACCCCCCCCCTCAGGCCCCTCTGACTCCCCCCTTCCTTAGGCCCCTCCCCTGACCCTCCTCCCTTAGGCACCTCCCCTCTCTGTACCCGGCAGTAGGTCTCCACCAATCAATAAGCTGTTTGTAAGGTCTCCACCAATCAAAGAGCTGTGTGTATTATATATTTATTTATGCACGACAGACAGACAGACAGTCAGACAGACAGCTAAATAATCCCTGGTGGGCAGTGTGGAACATTGTTCCTCCCTGTAAAATCAAGATCCATTGTTATATTTTAACAAAGCCATTGTTAAAATGTAATTTATTTTAACAATGGCATCTTTCTTTTATTGTTCATTCTTCAAGTTAATATTCCATCCGTTATCATTATGAATATCTACTCTCTTATTCTTCCTGTGGGGTCACCTCAAATCTGTTGTTGACAAAACTCGACCAAGTAACCTGAATGAATTGAGACAACAAAATGCAATTGGTGAGAATTCGTGCATGAAATAACCTTATGTGATTTGTAAAAAAAAACAATAATGGCCCTATGTGTCCTGAGTTTTGATCCACCCTGTATAATCTTGATTTAAGGTCATTTATTTCACCAATTGTGAGCCTGCTAGCATATTTTTTTTACTGGAACTTATACAACTTATGTTTACGCAATTGTGCTTACATTTTCCAGTAGATCTCTATTGAAAAGAGCCTGGTCTCATACCCAAATTGGTTGACGTGTTAAACCATTCGGATGACTATAGTGAACCTTGCCCTGGCCATAATCAAATTTTGCTGCAATTTTAGTGCCGTCATTTCCTCAAATAATCTTTTACTGTTGCTGTTGTTATTACATTTCTAGCGGTCCAGTTACACGTGCCTTTGTCTGGAAGCTTCAGTGTGTACATCTGTGTCATTTGTGTTTTTTTTTCCTCATAACCCCATAATCTCTGAGCCTTTCCATCAGTAAACATGCACTGGCCTTCCAGAACGATCACAACTGATAACACTGTAGACCGCATGGCATGAATGCCAGGCAGGCATACGTATACAGTACAACTAGCCGTTTGTAAATGTCAGTGGTGATATATGTTGCTACACAGCACTTGAATGATGCTGGTGCTGATGGTAATGATGTCCCATGGAGGAATATCAAGATATTGCAGTGTGACATGAAGTTTTGATATCCAGTCCCGGAGCTTCAGCAGATGCGGAGTGACATTTAAGGGTGGTTTTCAGGGAATGAGTAACAGTGGACAGTTGTTTACTTGAGGTTCCATTTCGATTTAAAGCTTTTGTGACTGCAGGGATTCATCTTCTTGGTTCTTTCGGTTGTAGCCGAAACGTCGTGAGAATTATTTTATTATGTTTTATTTTTATTATTTTATTACTCCCTTTCTACGTGACTTTACCGAAAGAACAAAGAAGATGACGTTCCATTGTTTGCACATAATCGGAGCAGGCATAAGTTGGCTGCTTGGCTCACGGGATAGGGATCGATCGTCAATATTGGTAATAATGTAATATAGACTCCAAGCTACAGTTAGTAAATGGTTATAATCAATATCATAGAATTACGCACTTTTCTCTATCCACTGCTAAAGGGAAGCACATCATCACAGCAGGAATCGCTCGATGCTGATGGTATCCGTCAGCGGGAATTGAACTTAGGCGTGGGGGGGGGCGGTGGCCCAGTGTGTTGACCACTAATTAAATCCAGGATGCTGATGGCAGTGCATTTTTAAGGCGGAGAAAAATAAAAACGTTTGGTTTAGAAACAGGGATGTTACTCAACCTAAAGCAATCTGAATAAATTATTCCCTTCTTCTTGAATTCTTCTTTAGTGATTGTTATTTCCAATTGTAAGTATGTTAACCACTGCGCCCCAGATCACGGCAATGTATAAACACCTACGCGCACGCAAAGACCCTGACGCACTCAAATCACTCGCTCACTCTCACGCATGTGCAATTATCCTAAACAAATCATGTGTGATCATTTGTAAATTCACTCCGGCGCACATTAAAACACACAATCTCTTTAACAGACACCCGCGCATTCACGATCACACTTGAATTCACTCTTGCGCGGATATTCTCTCAAATGCCACAGCGTTGCCCCCACGTGCCCATTCACACTTTCACACTCATGCATGTTCACTGACTCACAACGCTCATACATTAATTAATTATCACACACGCACACTACACATTAATTCCCACAATTGTATTCACAAATACGTTTTAATAGACTGCGGGGGTAACGGCTGTCTGCATTCATATAATTCTAGATTTGAAGCATTCGTGACTGCAAGGATTCATATTCTTAGGTTTTTCCGGTAAAGTCACGTAGATAAAAAATAAAATTAATAAAAGTAAAATATAAAATAAAAATCACGACGTTTCGGAGGCAACATAAGCTTCCACCTGAAGACGGAGGCTTGTGTTGCCTCCGAAACGTCGTGATTTTTATTTTATTTTACTTTTATTAATTTTAATTGTATTTTTTTTATCTACGTGACTTTACCGAAAAAAACCTAAGAATATGCATTCATATACACACAAGTTCACACAAAGACAAAGCTCGCCTGTATGGCCTTAACAGATGCTTGGGGCAAGTGTTGTTAGCGAGCACCTATGAAGGGGGGGTGTGGCTAGCACCACGCCCGGCTGCCTTTGTCTCCCCAGTGCTGATGTTTGCACACCGCACCAGGTACTCATTCGAGCACCGAGGGGAGAGCCAGCACGAGTTAAAATAATCGTCATTGGTGCTGGCCGTGAGCCGGAATCGAACTCGGGTGGCCGGGTTCGTATCTCAGCGCACTAACCACCACACACACTAGCGCTCCCCACAATCTCACACGCACAATCTCTCACACACACACACACGCACAATCTCTCTCACACACACGCACAATCTCTCTCACACACACACACCCGCCACCAATAGGTGGCCCACGTCACCATGGCGCTTGGCGTCAGGATGGGTGCACTTTGAGTCCACGTGGAGTGACGAAATCTCGTTGGCAGGACACGCACACGCACCCGACACATCGAGTCCCCTCTGACACACATTCATGTGTTCATTTGATGACTTTCACTTGCATACCAAACCCCACTCTGAGAGGGTGCAACGATGCGTGTCAAATGCCGTAGTGAATTCACGTAAATGAAGGCACGGATGTGATTGTGTTACGTGACCTGCCAGCGAGACTCACAAATACTGAACACACTGCAGACGCAATTGCTGTTAGCGAGCGCCTATTAAGGTCGGCACGAGCGAGTGGTGAGGCCAGGCAAACTATAAAGTATAAACTAAACTATTTTTTATATTACCAGGTAAGGTCCACTGAGCTACACTGTAAAGCTCTTTTTCAGAAGCGACCTGCCCACAAATGACAGCTCAACGAAGTGGCTTACCATGTGGAAATGTACAGCAACCAAATACTCTAAAACGCATGTTTCTAAATGTAGAGGGAAAAACCCGGAGCACTCGGAGAAAAATTCACGCGACCACGCGGAAAAAATGCAGGCATCAGGGTCCGGATCGAACCCACGACCTCCTGCACACCAAGCGAAGTTAGTTCACATCGCTCGGCTGCCCCCCGTCTCCCCAGGACTGATGTTAACGCACCGTGTCAAGTGTTCATTTCAGGCTGAGTCGACGTGGGGCCTGCTCAGCCGTGAGCGGGAATCGAACTCGGGTCGCCAGGTTCGTCGCGCTCTCACAGAAACGCGAGTTGCACTAACCACTACGATACCCCCCCTCCCCGCTCGCACTTTCACACACTCAGAGGCTGTGCGCGTGTGGAGCGGTGGTGGCGAGCCGTAGTTATCGCGTTACAAACCCAGCCAGCTGAGTTCGATTCCCGCTCACGGGGCCAATATCGGTGAGGAATATCTGAAAACGGTCCTGAGCCCCCCCCTCGGGTCGACCCAGTCTTGTATGAGCACTGCATCCGCTGTTGCTTGTGACCATACATCGCTGGGGACACGAAGGCAGCAGAGCCTGGCGTTGGCCGACCTTAATATGCGATTATAGGTTTTTCCCCTTTTTTCTGGCAACAAAACAGGTGTTGAGATGTTAAAACACCAAACTGAAACATTTTTACAAGGAAGCATGTCTGCATTAACCACAATGCTTGTGGTCAGAATGCAAACAAAAAGCGTACTCTGATAATATATGCATTGTCCTTGAAACTGATTGGTCCACACCAGAGACAGCTTTCTTTTGAGCCTCGTCTCAAACGATGTTAGACCAGAGGACGCCAAATATGCTGACGACCTTAATATGCGTTCGCTAACAGAACCTGCTCCAACAGTCTGACAACGCGTTTCTTGAGAACTGCTCTTTGTGTTTAGTTTGTTGTCCTTCCCCCACACCTCCGATTAGCGCGGTTGGTTTCGCGCTGTGGTGTGAAAGAAGTTCAGCATTCGTACAATCCCGTCTGTTCACGGAGAGCTGCGTCGTACATCATTCAACGCAAGCGAGCCTTACCACCCCGGGCCACGCGAGTTACATTTCCACTCACGGCCAAAGCGCAACAACGTCCGTGACAGCCTCACAATCTCGCAGCGCAAAATAAAAAAAAAACCCCACAACTCAACTCACCCGCGAGCCTCTCGTGGTAACCCCTGGTGAAGAACTGCATGGCTTTGGCTGCCCTGCCGGGCGTCTTGAGCAGCCCCTCTCTGCCCGGGTCCTCCCCGATGCCCCGCAGGATGCCCGTGTAGGCGGCCTCCAGCTGCCCCAACGCCGCCGCTGGGACCGCTGGGGCTGCGTGCGCGACGCGCGCCGGAGCGGGCACCACCTGCAGCCCGTTCGTGCGCTCCGAGTGACTCGCAGGGAGCACGAGTGGAGGAGGAGCAGGAGGAGTAGGCAGAGTGCCCTCGACGCTTCTCACGCCGTCTTCCTCATCCCCTTCCTCCTGCGCCGCTGCTGAGAAGCCGTTAGCGAGGGCGTACTTGGAGCAGCTCCTGCTGCCGCTGTCCATGGTTGTGTTGGCGTGAGCGTTCATGCGCGCGGTTGAGTGCGGCTGCCGTGTGCGCGTGTGCGTGTGCGACTAGGCAGCTATCGCCCCTGGGTTGTTTGATGCGGCTCCCCCGTGTGAGTGTTTACGTAGGTGGTCGTGTGCGTTAGATTATGCCGGTTAGCTGCGTGCGTTGTGTGTAAGTCCACGTAGGGGGCGTGCCAAGTGTGTGTGTGTGATTATGCAGGCACCTTGTGTGTGTGTGGGATATTATGTAGATACCTGTGTGTGATTATGAATATACCTGTCTGTGATTTGTTTTTTTTATACAGGTGTGCTGGGAGTGTGTGTGTGAGTCGGTATATATGTGTGTGTATGTGAAGAAATATTATGTTGATCTTCTTTAAAATGTTGATCTTCTTTCGCGCCGTATGTGCGTGAAGACTTATGCAATTACGCGCGCGCGTGTGTGTGCGCGTGCGTGTGTGCGCGTGCGCGTGTGCGCGCGCGCGATTGTGGAACTGTAGCCGGCAAGTGCGCAACAAGTGAGGAGAGAGGCCGGCTCCAGCTGGTATTTATAGCGAGAGCCGAGGGAGACCCCCACCTCGCAACCTCCAGCCGCTCAGCGAGCAACGTCACGTCACTCACTCTCCACCAGACAGCCCACGCAATCGGAACAGACGTCGATGATTCATGGGGTGTACCTGGTATCTGTGACGGCGTACGTTCAACGCTTCGTTTCAGTCGGAATTAATTTGGCAATGCCACATCCGTCTCGCCTTATTTGTCTTAGACTCGTTCTTCTCAGTATTATTATACGAATTTCAGAGCATTAATAATAACAATAACAGGTTATATTCTTGGTTATTTCGGTAAAGTCACGTAGAAGGGAAATAATAAAACAATAGAAATATTATTTCCCTTCTACGTGACTTTACCGAAAGAACCAAGAATATGAATCCCTGCAGTCACGAAAGCTTTAAATTAAAAAAATAACAGGTTACTTTATTGTGGATACTAGTGATAGTGCCTTATGCCGATCCAGTCCAGCAAAACTCTGAAAAAATATCCAGTGAGAAATGAAGCCCTGCATACTGTGGTATAAGAGGAGAAGATGGATCAGAGAAAATACTCACGTTAGAGGCATCATATTGACTCTCATTGGGTCTTAGGCAGGATACATGATGATCGTCGTCGCCATCACCGCAACCATCACTGTCGTCATCATTGTCATCGTCGTCATCGTCGTCATAATCGTCATCGTCGTCACCATCATCACCATTCATCATCACAATCATATCTTTAACGTCATCATCATGATCGTGAGCCGTGGACCATCCACTGCTGGATGAAAGCCTCGCCTGTTCATCATCTGGTCTCGCCGCAACCTCCAAATAGCATGGTTGTCTAAAACGTACGATGCGCAAAAAAGTTAAACATACACACATAGCTTGGTTTAGATATGTGAATGACACATTGGTGGTCTGGCCACAGGGCAAATATACACTTAACGAATTTTTTTATAATCTCAACTCGCAAAACCCGTCCATCCAGTTCACCATGGAAGTGGAAGTTGACAACTCTTCCATTTCTGGATATTCTGCTCGGGCGCGGCCGAAACGGTAACAAGTATAACCCGTAAAAACAAAGTTTTTCACTATAAATCCTTTATTTGCGTGGCGGCTAGAGTCCTCTCGTCCTCTGGCTTGAGATGGCTGCCACCTATGGGTCAGATGATTGCATGCCAGCATTAAGCAATTGGTAATTAAATATAATATTTTGTCCTAAAAAGTGTAAAATTTTGGAATTTTTTTTCACGAACATTAATTGTCACGCACAACGAGTCTGTGTGGAAAATGTCAGCTCGATTGGATCACGGGAAGTGGGTTAAAAAACGACCGAAAGATTTGCACGGTCGTAAGCAAGCAAGCGCGCAAGTGAACTTAATATAAAAGATCTGAAAAAATATCGTATATTGCAGGAGTAACTGATAAACTAGCCAGATTTTTTGGAAAAAAAACTAAACATCCGAGTCAGATTTGGCACAGTACATGAAATACAGAAACGAATATCTGGTACTAAAGATGTATTACCGAAGCTATCAACAGTAAAATGGTTAAAAAATTACCTCTTTTCTCGCACCCAAACTGTATTCACAGAGGGTTGGAGGTCAAACAGTGTTAAGATAACAAAAGGGGTTCCACAGGGTTCCATTCTCGGCCCCCTCTTGTTCTCTCTTTATGTAAATGACTTGGGCACTGAACTGGATTATTCCAGGGTAAATCTTTTTGCAGATGACACGGTACTAATTACTGCTGGCCGCTCTCCGGATGACGTGATTGCTAAGCTCCAGATTGATTTCAACAAACTACAACATCAGCTAGTTGCTCTTAAACTAGTCCTAAATCCTGCCAAAACCAAGGTGCTATGCTTCTCACCAGGACTAAAGCGGGAAGTTATTTTTCCCCAATTACATACCTTAAATAATGATCAAATAGAGCAAGTCAAGATCTATAAGTATCTTGGGGTCATCCTGGATTCAAAACTGAATTTTGAAGATCACATTGATTATATTGGGAAAAAGACAAAAATTAAAATTGGTTTTCTATATCGACACAAGCACTGCTTCCCCCCTATGTCCCGTTTGGAATTGATTAAAGCTACCATACTGCCTCTACTTGATTACTGTGACATTGTGTATAAATCAGCCCCAAGTACTGTACTGAAGAAGCTTGACTCAATGTATCACTCGGCCTTAAGATTTGCATTGAACTGCCCATATAGGACTCACCACTGTGATCTCTACATTGGGTCAAACTTAACATCTCTGAATGTTCGACGGCTTGTGCACCAGATCTTATTTATTCATGATGTACTTGCAAAAAAATCTGTAGATTACCTGCTGGATCTCGTCTCTGTTTCAAAGAACAAATTTGACCTAAGGTCTACACTCATTTACCAGCTTAATATTCCCTATTGCCGTACATATACTGGAGGAAGGGCCTTTGCTATTGATGCCCCCAGGGTCTGGAATGCTGTTGCAAATAAATTGAAACTTGAGTCACTACCTATGAGATCTTCACTCAAAACTGCTTTAGAGGAGTTGTACACCCCTAGCTGCCAGTGCTATTCAGTGACCTAAAATAAAATGTTTCGCTCTGGATGATCGCTACAAAGTATGACCTGTGTTTTGATTTAGTGTGCTGATCTTAAAGGTGCATTGAAAATTTACAATACTCCGATTGATGCTCCTGCTGTTGTGGAGTGACTCATGCAGCCAGCTATGGCTGCAGGGTTTTGGTAGTACATGTTGTTTATGCCATTTATTGTGAAAATTCCGTCACAGTTCCTATGATTGCTTTATCATTGCTTTCATGGCTTTATTTTGGTGATTTCGAAAAGTGTATTGTTTGTGTTGTTGTAGTACAGAGTTAGACGGATGGCCTTAATCTAAGTTGTCTTGTGGTTGTTGTTGTTGTTTGACTTGCATCCCACTGGGATTTTTGCACACAGCGTTGGTGTACGGTGTTTTTTCTGCAATATTTTTGCTGTCTTTTCTTGGATTTTCTGTTTGCACTTAGTCACATATTCACTTTAAGATGTTTTTTGTTCATGTTTTTTGTTTATGTTTGTTGCGGTTGCACCCGATTCAAGAGCTGAATGGCTCACAGGGCTATACCTAATAAATGAACTTGAACTTGAACAGAAGGTGTGTACCGAAATAATTGCTTTTGTGGCAAATGGTATGTTGGTCAGACAGGACGAATGATCACCACGAGACTAAAAGAACATCAGATAAATATTAAATACTCCCAAATACAACTGTCAGCAGTAGCAGAACACGCCTGCTAACAAGGACACTCAATTGATTTTGATAATGTTGAAGTTTTGTGCAAAACTAGTTAATAATGGCCAAGATTAATTCGATAATATATCGAAATTGAGAGAAATAAAAATAATATTAACCGTCGGGATAGCTACAGGCTTAATGCTGCTTGGAAGCGAATCATCAAGTAATGCACTGTTTAACTTAATGCATATACAGGTCACCGTAACGTTGATGGTGATTACCTGTGAGCTCTACAAAAACAATGTGCATGCATAACGCGCGTGCATAATGTACGTTGATCACCATATGAAGAACCCGACCGGTAATGGATACCCATTGTGATGTGTTGGCATTAAACCCCCCCCCCCCTGCTCTCTGGCTTTCGCACGTGAGTGGTTCACAAGTGACGTCATCACATCTATCCCTCTATTTAAGAATGAAACAGGAGGATTTCTTCACAAATCTGTCTGTCACCTGATGATGCTGGCTGTAATTTCTGGCGAAACATCGTACTCAGATTGTAAATGTTCTGGGTTTACTCTCCAACACACCGGTGTGCTGTGCTGGTAACGAATTGGCATGTTCTGTTTACGTGACAAACCTTACTAATTGGCTGTGTCGGGTGGTGGCGGGTTTAACGACACGTTTATATATTTACGCAATCTAACCCAAAAAAAAACCCTCTATTATAGATTATATTGGTCACGAAAGCCTGCGTGTTAAACATATATACAAAATGTTTGTGAAGGTATAATCCCTTATTGAATGACTATAATTGGACATGATTCAGTTCTAGGTGAATACCATTGTGCACAGACACACACTTGGAAGTATGAAGATCATATCACACAGGTGTCATTGCTTTAAACCTCCAACTATTCCACTACGGTGCGAGGGATACATTTTTCGGAGATGACAAAAAAAGCTGTACTATTGATAGCTTTCTAAGGTAATTGCCCCGAAAGTCGAGAACAACATGCCTGAGACGCGTGGAGCAATGAGATGAGCTCGTGTTGCAGGCGCGAGATGGATTGCTGCATCACGAACTGTGAAATATGTGGAGGTCGTCATCCAGCAGTGTATAGACCATGGCTGATGATTGATGACGATAAAATCTAAGAGCAGCCATGCTTTCCCGTGGGTAGAATTAGTTTTTGTTGTTGTAACTTATGGGTGTTTTTTGGTCACTTTTTTTGGCAGAAATATTTTTTTTAACTGTGTAGAGAAAATGATTCATACTCTTAGTTCTTTCGGTAAAGTCACGTAGGTAAAAAATGAAATAAAAATTAATAAAAATAAAACAATAAAATCACGACGTTTCGGAGGCAACACAAGTCTCCGTCATCAGGTGGGACCGTCACAGCCAGATTTGCTGCATCAAGCTTCAAATCTAGAATTAGAGAAAAGAAGTTAAATATATGAATGAATGAACTAAATTCATGAATGACCACCTCTATTGAAGGAATATGCAGAACATTACATGCTATATACAGTTTACACAGCTTAGTGGGTGTCAGTGTGTGCAATTCACTGTTCATCTACATTAACAACCATCAACACGTTTTGGAAATTCCACATTCCTGTTGCAGTAGAAGTCCATCCATAGAACAACGAAAAATTCCACAAATGTTGATAGTAACCTGCGTTAACTGCACGGCTAACATCGGTAGCAAGTGATATTTGAAGCAGTCGTTTGTATGTTTT